CATGAGCCTACTCTTTTCTTTCTTTACCAAAGTCAAGTCAGTCTAAGCTAATCATTTGTGTTTAATTGWTTTAATCGATAAAAGGGAAATATATAATGCAGTAAAAGTAAACATCTCTTCCTTTGTATTAAGTTTTTCTTTGCATTTCTGTGAAGTTTCATCACATTTGCTTCAATATTAAATGATTTATGCCTGTTGTTYCCCAGCTTGGGCTACCTGTGCTCTWTATTCTGGCGACGGTAAGCAGGTGACTGTCGTGTCATAATTATTTGCAGTGTTTGATCCTTCTTACGCCTCTTTGTATAGCGGTRTCACTTTACATTTGAATAAAATAGCGTTTATTCTTCACTATATATATTGGTCTGACATTCCATCTGCAAAGATTGAAGATGTATATTACCTGTATTCAAAATGAAATACGCTGATGACTTTGATCGTATGCGTTTGCCACATTTTGCATGAACGAATCAGCACTATTGTAAAACTATAAAATACATGAGTACTTGAAGGTTGGGTGTGGCTTCAGGTCATTTATTCAAAAAAAAACGTCAGTGGATGTTCTCTTATCTTCATATCACGAATAGAAAATACGATTCACTTTGCATTTGATTAAGAAAAGGCGGCTTATATTGGAATACTTGGAAAKCAATCGTGATATTAATCATACTACGTAAAGAAAACAGTTCACAGTTCAAGATGCTATGTTAGATGTCTGCTTAACCGGCCAGTCGATTCGCCATTGCATTTTTACAGATTCTTGACTGATCTCTTATAAAGCTTATAAACTGAGCTTGTCTGCCAAGAAGACTTTACCGCCTGGCTGAAAGAGGAGACGCTTGCTTTACTATCAATAACTGCCGGAAAGCGGCTGTATTAGACTTGAATCAAGATCTGGCTGATATACTGAACTCAGTTCCTGATCTGATATAAAACTTATAAACTGACTGCCAACAAGATTTTAGCGCATTGCTGAAAGAGGAGACGTTTTCTTTAATATTGATTACTGTCAGAAAGTGGCTGTATTAGACTTGAATCAAGATCAAGGAAAATCAAGAGAATAAAATAATAACATGAACAACTCAACGACGGAGCGACCATCGCCACTGCTAAATGTACACTTCATCGTTTCGCTGATTGTCATTAACTCTTTTGGTTCTCTCTTTGCAACACTTTCGAACCTCCTGATCATCTTGACTTTTATGAGAACGCCATCTTTACGAAAATCTCCTGGGAACATTTTTATTCTTAGTTTAGCCATATCTGACTTCATGGTTGGAGCTTTAGTGCAACCTCTTTACTCTACGGCCATTTTTGCAGTAATGACTAACAACATGGTCTTATATTATAGTGTTATTGTGATATTTTCACCAACGGCCGTAATGCTTATTTATGCATCACTTTTGACGATAATTGCAATTACTGTCGATCGATTCCTAGCTCTCCACCTTCATCTAAGATACCAAGAGCTTGTTACAACGAAACGGTCTTCAATGGTGTTAATTGCAATTTGGACATTTAGTGCGTCGTGGGGATTTCTTGTCGTTGATAAAGGGCATCTTACCSCTGCAAGTAATTTGTTATTACTCTCACTTCTGTCTATAAACATTGCTCTGATGCTGAGAATATCATGCATAATTCATCGACATGCARCACAAATGAAAGTTCAGAAGCAGTTAATGAAGGCACTRCAGCCTGGTGTACCAGTGAACATTAAGAGATCTGTCCATGTCATGTATTACATACTTGGAACATTTTTTGCGTGTTATTTCCCGGCAATTTGTTTTTGGATTATCAAAACCTTTGCGGATAAAAGTTGCGACTTCGCCGAGCACATATCTAATACAATCCTCTTGTTAAACAGCACCATCAATCCAATCATATATTTCTTGAGAATACAGGACATGCGAAATGCTGCTCTTCAGATGTTGCGATTTTTTACAAGAAAGAACAATAACAATGATAATGGCAGTGGTAAAAAGTAATGATAATGACAACAACGGCAAAGATGCTAATAGTGGTACAAATTGTAATATTTAGTCACTTGGTTGTTTGGTATAAGATTAGTGATACTGATAGATATTATCACTCTCTGAATCTATATATTGTTTTCTTTTGCTCTTTACCAACAAATACTGAATAAAAAAAGCATCCGATGCTTTTGAGTTTTCATAAATGACACTGTCTTCCGACGAATTGTCGATAAAATTCCCGATAATATTTCTGTTTCTTTA